GACCTTGCGCTTGCCAGGCAGGCACTTTTGCCACTGAGCTAAATCCCCAGAAAGTCTTACTAGGATGAGAAATGGTAAATAAATTAAAAGTGTTAAATTATACCCTTTTTTGGTTTTTTTTTTTTTTTTTGGTTTTTTTCACTTTCTTCTTTAGATTAATTTCATTTTGGGGGATGCTATGGTGAAAGGTGTTGTTCCCCAATTTCTGTCTCAGTGAATTTGTCATTTGTGTACAGGATGGCTATTGATTTTTGAGTGTTGACTTTGTATCCAGCTACACTACTGAATTTGCTTATTAAATCTAGCAGTGTTGGGGCTGGGGATTTAGCTCAGCGGCACAGTGCCTGCCTAGCAAGCGCAAGGTCATGAGTTCAATGCCCAGTACTGGACAAAAAACCAAAAAAAAAAAAAAGAAAAAAGATCTAGCATTCTTCCAGTGGAGTGTTTGGGGTCTTCTATGTAGAGTATCGTGTCACCTGCAAATAATCACTTAACTTTTTCCTTTCCTATTGTTATTCCTTTTATTTCTTTCTCTTGTCTAATTGTTCTGGCTAAAGTTTCCAGGACAGTGTTGAATAAGAGTAGACACAGTGGACATCCTTGTCTTGTTTCTAATTTTAGAAAGCTTTCAGTACTTGTCCATTTAGTATGATGTTGGCTGTTGGTTTATCATAGATGGCTTTTATCAGATTGAGATAAAGACCATCTATTCCAATTTTTATAGGGTTTCTATCATGAATGGGTGCTGGACTTTGTCAGAAGCTTTTTCTGCATCTGTTGAGATGATCATATGATTTTTGGCATTGGCTCTGTTAATATGGTGTATTACATTTATTGATTTACATATGTTGAACCATTGCTGCATCCCTAGGATCAATCCCACTTGGTTATGGTGTATAGTCTTCTTGATGATTTGCTGCATTCTGTTTGCCAGTATCTCATTGAAGGTATTTATATCTATGTTCATTAGGGAGATTGGCCTATAATTGTTTTTCTTGGTTGGGTTCTTCTCTCATTTTGGTATCAGGTAACGAATTTGGGAATATTGCTTCCCTTTCAATTTCATTAAAGAGTTTGAGAAGTAGTGGTGTTAGGTCTTCTCTAAATTTGTTGTAGAAT